GAGAGATCATTGAGACTGCCTTGTTTTGGGAATTTTCTTATTAACTAAACCTGTCATGATTGGCATATTGGTTTTGGGTGCTAGTCAGTTCTTACTGATAGGTTATATCTTAAACTTCCGAAGAAAAATTTTAACTGTTTGTATAATAGATAGGTGGTATGTTGTCTTTGTGCCCATTCTTTAGTTCTGTTGCATGTGTGTATCTGCATTATGTTTTTTTGGCATGTTTATTGATGCTTTAAGATTTCTAAATTTGCGGGAATGTGATGAAAATGTAGTTTCTTGGCCTTGCTTTCTTCTTCCTATCTATCATCATTTTTAACAGGCTTTAAACTGCTTCTTTTCTAATAGCATGGATCATTTGATCACCTTCATTTTGAAGAAATGTCAATGCCTTCTGAACCGGGTTCACTTGTCGGGGCAGCCATTGCAGCTTCTGTAACTATTCCAGCAGATACGGTACGCACTGTTACATTTTCGCTGGCATGGGCCTGCCCTGAAGTCAACTTCTCAGGTGGCAGAACTTACCACAGGTCAGTAGTGAATGACTTGTCTTTATTGTCAATCTCTGAATTCCTAGCTTCTTTTCGCTGTGAGTAATTCAGATTAATTTACAGGCGCTATACAAAATTTTATGGAACTTTTGGAAATGCGGCATCTGCAATTGCACATGATGCTATTCTTGGTAATTTTCCAGATGGAGCTGAAAGGCCTTTTCCACATTTTAATTTTTAAAACATCCAAAGCAAAAAAGATACATGCACTTGTCATTCTCAATTAATCTGTGACAATATTTTCTTGCTAAGCTTGTTGGTCTTTCCTTGTGTTATGGATTATAGCGCATGAAAGTTGGGAGTCACAGATAGAAGCATGGCAAAAACCCATTCTTGAAGATAAGAGGCTTCCTGAATGGTAAGCTTGGAATTTTTGCTGTCTGTTTGTTAATCATAAAGTTCTCATGTAAAAAAGTCAAGATGGTTCACTGCAGGTATCCTATCACTCTCTTCAATGAACTCTACTACCTTAATGCTGGAGGATCAATTTGGACAGGTACAGTGAAGACAAATCTTTGGTGTCTTGTGAAAATTTAATTTGGGTAATTACAGTTCAGTCTATTTCTTGTTATACAGATGGATTACCAGCTGTGCATAGTTTATCTGCAATAGGGCAAAGAAAGTTTTCGCTCGACAGATCTAATCCAGCTCTCAAAAACACCATCAATCATTCTAATCATAATGACACTGCTACAGGCATCCTAGAGAGAATGACTTCAATACTTGAGGAGATTCATTCTCCTATTTCGCTGAATTCCGCCTTTGGAACGAATCTGCTCCAAAAAGGGGAGGAAAATGTAGGCCAGTTCCTCTATCTTGAAGGGATTGAGTATTACATGTGTAATACCTATGATGTTCACTTTTATGCATCGTTTGCCTTAGTTATGCTATTCCCAAAACTTGAACTTAGCATCCAAAGAGACTTTGCTGCTGCAGTTATGATGCATGATCCCAGTAAGATAAGAACTTTGCAAGACGGACAATTGGCTCCAAGAAAAGTTCTTGGTGCTGTTCCTCATGATATTGGAATGAGCAATCCATGGTTTGAAGTGAACTTCTACAATCTTCACAACACGAATAGGTGGAAAGATTTGAATCCGAAATTTGTTCTGCAAATTTACAGGGATGTGGTTGCAACAGGTGATAAAAAATTTGCCGAAGCTGTTTGGCCATCCGTTTATGTTGCAATGGCTTACATGGATCAATTTGACAAGGATGGGGATGGGATGATTGAGAACGACGGGTTTCCTGACCAGACTTATGATACATGGTCTATGTCTGGTGTGAGTGCATACTGTGGTGGGCTGTGGGTGGCTGCCTTGCAAGCTGCTTCAGCACTGGCTGGTGAAGTTGGTGACAAGGGTTCTGAGGACTACTTTTGGTTCAAGTTTCAGAAGGCAAAGAAGGTATACGAGAAATTATGGAATGGTTCTTACTTTAACTATGATGATAGCGGTGGCAGTGCAAGTTCTTCGATTCAAGCCGATCAGCTGGCTGGACAGTGGTATGTTTCAGATATAAGTTCTCTTTAATAATTCAATTTGTGCGTTATACATTTTTTTAAATATCTGATCGAAGGGAGTCATATACATGAACATAAGATTTTACAGCCACTTCTGGTTTTTTTTTTTTGGTGAGGACCTTTCCTTGGTATTTCTGGTCTGGTAAGCGCTTTGCTTTGCTTTAGTTCATCTATTGTATTTGGTTGTCAAAAAATGAAGAAGAGTTATAGAACAGGTATACAACTATAACCTAGTATAAAAGATTCTCTTTTGGTCCTTTTAGGCATTAATCTACATGTCTGTCTGTCTGTGTATATATGGAGACATCCGAGGGGCATGAGCACGTAGTGTAAACTGTGACTTTTCACTTTGTTAGTTGATGAAGAAGAAGCTGCCTCATTTTGTGAACATTTAACTCCATCTGACAACCTTATTGGTAGGTATGCTCGAGCCTGTGGTCTATTGCCCATAGTTGATGAAGAGAAAGCTAAACTTGCCCTAGAGAAGGTTTACAATTTCAATGTCTTGAGGGTAAAAGATGGAAGGATGGGGGCTCTTAATGGAATGTTGCCTAGTGGACAACCAGACATGTCTTGCATGCAATCAAGGGAAATATGGAGTGGAGTTACATATGCTGTTGCTGCATCCATGATGCATGAAGACCTGATGGATATGGCATTTAAGACGGCAGGTGGAGTCCATGAAGCTGCTTGGGCAGAAGAAGGTTTTGGGTATGTTATTACCTTCTTGTCTTCGCCCTTGCTCAACCAAGTTGCCAAAATTTATATACTTTGGACTGCATTTGTTTGTTTCCTTTTGTGGCATACCTAGCTCTAAATTTTCATTCTTTTCACTAGTGCAGCCAATCTCTGGCTTAAGCAAACATATACTTCTTACTTAAAAATCTTCTTTAGTAGCAGCGCCATATGTTCTTTTATCGATGCTTAAACATGTAATTGGCTTTTCCCTTTCTGATAGTATTATAGTTAGACTTAACTTTATATACTTGATCATCATGATGCTCTTAGTTCATATTCTCGATATCCATAATGCTTTTAATCAATTTGGGTTTGCCCCTGTTCTATCAAAAAATTTAGACTTCTAAATCTGTAATTGGCATTTCCCTTTCTGATAGTATTATACTTTAGACTTAATTCATATATTCAATAATCATTCTGCGTATATCTTAATTCAAATTCTTGATATCCATAACGCATATAGGTAATTTTGGCTGCTCCTGTTCAATCTGGGCAAGTGTGTTTGAGATGTGCTTTGAAGATGAATTATCTTTTGATAGTGCATAACAATTTTGTAGCTCTTCCAGTGTCACATAGTTTATGGGAATAACATGTATATTACAGATGCTGCGAACTTTACATACCAGTGCAGCAACCTTTGCAACTTCAGCCTTATGCCTCAATTTTTTTTGCATGCCTTTAGTCCTGAATAAGCTGTGGTTGGGTAAGTTAAGAACAAAAACTACAGAAGAAGAGAGTGGTAAAGTAGGGATACGGAACATCTGTTTTACCTGTTTCTGGTACTTCTGATCCATATCTTCAAACGAAACTTCAAGACTTTCAAGAATTTTTCTGCGACTGCACTCGTCAATATTTCTCATATATCATTTACAATACTTCACCCGTTCAAACATTCTGAAAAGGAGTCCAGGGAAGACAAATGTGGGGATGAATTGGATAAATAGCAGATTCCCCACTGCACCTTGGATCAAACATTTATCTAACGTGTTATAAGCCAAGGTTCTCTAGTGTTCGGAGTTGACTTTGAAGTTCACATGTGCATCTAATTACCGTGTCAATTGGAGTCTGTAAACGACAATTAGCCCAGAACTGAACAGGGTAAATTTTGTTTAGGAATGTTCAATCAGAAGCATTTCTGGTGGCGCAAACTTCCTATCTATTTAATGTCTAATTGTGCTCTCTGCATATTTCTTCTCTCTAGCTTTAATGCATAAATGCAGGGGCGCAACTTCTGTTGGCTTATATGTTTGTGCTCCTTGGCAGCTACTCTTTTCAGACTCCTGAAGCTTGGAACTTGGAGGGCAAGTTCAGATGTCTGGGTTACATGCGGCCCTTGGGAATATGGGCAATGCAATGGGCACTGACACAGCAACCGAGACATCCCAAAAAGGAGATGAAGCAAGAGATCAAGGAAGCTGATTTGTTTAAGGAGCATGCTGGTTTTTCGCGAGTTGCACGTGTTCTCAAGCTAGCCGAAGAGCAGGATACTAGAAATCTTTTACAGGTTATTTTTGATTATACGTGTAAAAGAATGTGGACTTGATTTAGAAATAATCTCGAGTTGGCAAAGACATAAGATGTACTTGATGCCTATTGGCCAAAATGTATTATTTCCTATATTGAATCTTGTATAATTTGTCACCAGAACAATTGAGAATTTCTTTTGTGGTCAATGTGTAAGTAGCAAACGTCTGGTGACAACATAGTTAGATAATGTGGAATGATCAATACGTTTATCATCCCCGTGTAAGTGGGATATATCAAATTATATAACACTTGTCATATACTTGATCAATGATCAGTATACAATTTACTGAAACAAATGTACAGAAAGCAGGGGGTTGCAGACGAAGGGTAAGAAACCCATTGCATGTCCTGCTGCAAAGGCGAACTCTGCATCTACCTCTTTTTGAATCTTTCACTGACTTTTGCCTCAAGAACGCTTCAGGGATATGTAGCTAAAAATCACGAGTGTGATGTCCCAACTCCCAAGTCCTTTCTTCCTTCTTTGGTTGTCAAGCATTGTAGGCCTTTTTTTCCCCCCTCTCTGTGAGTTTGAATTCTAAACTTAATGTAGTTTACAAAGAATTTGAGGTGAAAGACAATTTAAACATACTTCTCGGAGCAACGCCGGACCTCCTGTACCTAGCTAACACAACCAACTCAGGTCAGCATTCGCTTTCGGTTGTGACTCTATTTGATGAAATAATGGCGACAATTCGCAATTGGACGGGCAAGGGATGCAAGCTTGTCGTAGAACTGGTAAGTTGGTTCAGCCTCCATTCGTACCAAGTTCTGTATTATCCATTTCTTGGGATATTTTGTTGCTAACAAATATGTCAGATTATCGTATGGGATATTTTGCAGCTTCTACGTCGCCGCATAAGGTTATTCATTCCGTCTATGATTATCCCACTGAATGGTTTTCCTGATTTTTCTCCAATCATGATAGTATGAATCCCAATTTATCTGGATCACCAATAGTTCTCCTCACCCAAGTATCATAAGTGAAATAACAGTCCCAAAACTTGTACAGCTTTGTCCTTTCTTTGAACAGAAAATAATAGGCAATATTAATCTTCTGCTGGTGTTATCACAAGGGTACTTTCTTTTTGAGGGCGGTTTTTCATTGTATGGAAAACCGCTTCTCTTTTCAATTTCCGTCGCATTTCATATTTTGTATTAGGTAACTTGTCCCTGTAGGAAAGATCAAAACTGCCCTTTTTCTGTATGAAAATCTCCTGTTGTCTGTTGTCTTTCAATTGCCAATTTAAGGCGCAGAAGGCAAAGTTTGTGTACAAAATTGTAGGAAGAAGAGATCAAGCGAAATAAAAATGGCTCACGAATGTCAGTGCGTATCTCCTCAACCAACTGATTGGGTGAAGGGAGAAGTGGTAGGATCAGGATCATTTGGCACCGTCCATCTGGCTATAGAGAAAGCTACTGGGGCACTTTTTGTTGTAAAATCTGCTGAATCAGAAATCGGAATTCAATCACTGGAAAATGAGGCTGATATTCTTGAGAATTTGGATTCTCAATACATTATTAAGTTCTTAGGAAAGGATTTCTCCAGTGGAGCAAATCGCTACAGGAAACTCAATCTTTTCATTGAATACATGGCCGGGGGTAGTTTAGCTGAGGTTGTAGAGAAATTCGGAGGGGCAGTTGACGAAAAATTGATTCGATTGTACACCAAAAAAATTCTCCAGGGTCTGAAGTATCTCCACGATAATGGGATAGTGCATTGTGATCTTAAGTGCAAGAATGTGCTTCTAGGCCTCTCAGGAAACGTAAAGTTGGCAGATTTTGGTTTCGCCAAGAGATTAAATGACCGGAAAAAGGATAAGAAATCAATGCAATTCCACAAGCCTAACATTGGTGGAACTCCCTTTTGGATGGCTCCTGAAGTTTTAAGGAATGAAGGGTTGGATTTTGCTGCTGATATTTGGTCTTTAGGGTGCACAGTCATTGAAATGGCTAATGGCTGCAGGCCTCCCTGGGGGGATAATTTTTCTAATCCAATGTCAGCAATCCTGAAGATTGCCTGCGGTAACGGGGTTCCTGAGTTTCCATCAAATCTTTCCCACGAGGGAAAAGATTTCTTGAGCAAATGCTTGCAAAGAAATCCTAAAAAGAGGTGGACGGCTGAGGAACTGCTTCAACATCCATTCCTCTTAGGAGAGTCGAGTCAAAGAAAGGAGGAAACTTGCTCACCAGCAAGTGTATTGGACCTGAGATTTGTGCATTATGATTCAGATGGCTCATCTGTTGATGAGGAGTTCAGCAGCAGAGTTAATCCATTTTCCATGAGGTGCCAGCCTATGAAAAGCTTGGTATCAGAATATCACTTTGTCTCATCAGACGAATGGGTCACTGTAAGAAGCTAGTTGAGAATGAATTGGGAGGGGGAAGGCACTTGTTTTTCTTTCCCTCTTATTCGTCTTTCTTTAGCAGACAGACAGATGGAAGCTTTTCCAGTAAAACGGAAAAGAAGAGAGTTGTAGGGACAGATTGATTTTGTAAATGTAAAGTTTAATTAATCAACAATGAGAAATGTTCTGGATTATCTTCTTCTTTTCTTTTTTTTTTCTTCTTTCCTTATAGATATTGGGAAGGAGGTGAAGTTTGAATCCAAGTACATAAACGCGATTCCCTTAGGAAAAAAAAAGCAAAAAAAAAAAGAAAATAAAGGGATTTGGATGTTATAAGGGGCTTTATAACTAAGGTCACGGAGTTGGCCTCGTGTTACAATAAAGAGCAAATTATCCAGATAGTCACTAAATTTTTACGATCATCAAGTTTTGGTCACTCAACTATTAAAAGTTTGATTTTGATCATTGAAATATCTAAAGTTAAGATTCGAGATCATTCCGTTAGATTTAGTCATTAAGTATGCCAGTTCGTTGCCTCCCAGAAAGAAAAAAGAATTGTACTGGGGTATGAACATTCCTGTACTCATGAATCGAACCCTTTACTCCTGCCATCATCCAACTCACCACCAACAGAAATTCTAGTAATAGCCCAATTCCTATCCTGTTCATCAAGCACCTCAGATCAAACAAATGTCTCTATCGGTATCTCATTTCCCACCTCTCTCTAGATGTGTACAAATCTGATTGATTATTTGATTATAGAGGAATGTGGATAAAATTTTGCTGCAAAAGGCCAGTTCTTGGAAGCTCAAGAAAGGGGAAGAAAGAGAAAGAGGTAGTTGAAAGAAGAAGATGAAAGTGATAGTCGTTGTATTGGTATTTATATGCTCTCACTCTCGGTCGTCTACTGTGTAATAGCAGGGTTGAGGTGTTATTGTACCCAATTGGGTGTTTGGAGTTAACTTACGAACAAAGAAGGTACGGAAGTAATTAAATATGGGATCTGGGAATTCTGATTTTGAGTGCTCGAGGGAGATATATCCCGTTCTGTTTTTCTTACACTTTCTGTCGTTGGAGCTGGGCTCATGGGACAGTAAGGCACCCCACTACCAATCTGCATTTTTCTTACCATTCCAAGAATAAGACCGAGCGGAAATAAGGGATATAGAGGTAGTTTATCGCCAACACTGGTTACTGATGTAGGCAATTGGCTTGCTGGTTGTGCGGAAAGTGGAGTAGCTGCTGACACCGCAAATCCACTAGAAGAAGCTGAAGCAGAATGAAATTGTTGGGCGTGGCAATGATGGTTGCACTAGAGGGACTAGTTTGTCTCGGTATTCTTGATCTGGCAATTTTATAAGAAAGAAGAAGAGGAAAATTTTGATACCATTGGATTTGAGGAGTAGGGATAATTGGAAGAGCAGATTGAGAGAGCAGTAAATTTGGCATTTTTATGCTTTGGCAATCGCGCAAGCACTCAGATCTGACATACTTAACGACTAAATCTAACATAATGGTCTCGAGTTTTAACTTTAGACATTTCAGTGATCAAAACCAGACTTTTAATAGTTCAGTGACCAAAACTCCACGATCGCAAAAGTTTAATGGCCATCTGGATAATTTGCTCTACAATAAATGAAAAACTCATAAAATAGAACAAATTTCTCTTTAACTTAATTGATGAAACGGTCCAATGCATGGTTAGAAGAACACACATATACTACAATATTTAGCACTGAATATATTAATATTGCATAAAAATGTAAACCACAAATTCATGGGTCTATTTAGGAAATTGAAAATTAGATGAATGAGTCACAAAAGTGCTCCCCAGCCAAACACTCACTAATCCCCAAAGAAAGCAAAAACAGAGGCTCCGTTTGGATTAGCTGTTTTTGGGGTTTTTCAAAAACACCACTGTAGCATTTCGAATCTGAAAAACAAATCCGTTTGGATTAGTTGTTTTTGGGGTTGTTTTTCAAAAACTATATGAAAAACTTTTACTGTAGATTTTTTTGGATTATTTTTAGAGGTACTTTTGAAACATATTTTTGAGTATTTTTAGAATATTATAATTTTTATATTTTTATATAAATATACATTCATGCATTTATAATACATTTATATTTACAAATGTATAAATGTATATTATTATAAATTATAAATTATAAATGAATATTATATAAATGTATAAATTATAAATTATAATTTTTATATAAATATACATTTATGCATTTATAATACATTTAAAAATAAATATATTTATATATTCATATATAAATATATAAATGTATTATATTCTATATAATACATAATATAAATATATTTATAAATGTATAAGTGTATATTATTATAAATGTATAAATTAATATATTATAAATATATATTAATATTATGTAGAAATGTATTTATATAATTAATATAAATGTATATATGCATTAATATTATGTATAAATGTAAAATTAATATTATGTATATTAATATAAATGTATAAATGTATTATATTATATATAATACATAATATAAATGTATATTTAAATGTATAAGTGTATGTTATTAAAAATGTATAAATTATAAATGAATATTATATAAATGTATAAATTAATATATTATAAATATGTTTTAATATTATGTTGAAATGTATTAATATAATTAATATAAATGTATACATGTATTAATATTATGTATAAATGTAAAATTAATATTATGTATATTAATATAAATATATAAATGTATTATAAATGTATTATATTATATATAATATATAATATAAATGTATATTATAAATATACATAAATATTTATATATTATGTATAAATGTACATTTATATAAATGTATAATATATTATATATTATATTATATATAATTTATATAACATATAATATTTATGTAAATATATTATAAATATATAAAAATATATTTTAAATAAAATAAAATATTTATAATATGTATGTATAAATATATAATATTAGAAATGTATAATATATATAATATACATTAATATTAATATAATTTATATATAATATACATAATTGAAATATACATATTAATATATATTATAAAACAAAATTGCATAAATATATTTATAAATTTATATATAAATAAATGTATTTATATAAATATATAATATTTATTTCAATTGACATAATATATATAATATTATACATAATTGAAATAAATATATTTATATTAATATAATATATATAATATACATAATTGAATATACATATTAAAATACATAATTGAAATATACATATTAAAATATATTAAAATATAATTGAAATATACATATAAAATACATAATTAAAATATACAAATTGAAATATACTTATTAAAATATACAAATTAAATATGCATAATTGAAATATATTTGGAGTTGTTTTTGATATATTGTTTGGATTGGTGTTTTTGAAGTTGTTTTTGAAATACACATTTACTGTAGCATTTAGAATGTGAAAAACAGTTTTTCAAAAACAGGCTCAAAAACACCAATCCAAACGTACCCAAAATACTTTGAAAAATTCTTGATTTTCCATGATGAGCAATAGAAGTTGAAAAAGTTGTCTTGTATCCCAAAAAAGTGAATTGTGGTTGAATTTAAGATTTTAAGTGATAAATTTGCTACATTAGAAAGAAAAAATTTTTTTTTATCAAAGATAATTTTGCGCCGGCTTAGACGGTGAATTTTTTCAGGTGTTTATGTAAAATTTTATTTTACTGTAAAAATTGTAAAGAAAAAAAATACTTTTGTGTATTTAAGGGTCTATAATTCGATGTAGGACTTGTAAATTAAATCCAAAGGAGGTCCAAACAGAACAAGAACCCGAAAAAAAAGAAAAATTGTAAGCATTGCTAGTTGCTGCTCTTCCAAAAGCATTTAAAGACCGGAACTGGAGCCACCAAATTTTTCTGAAAAAAAGAAAAGAAAAGAGAAGCATTAGCTTTTTTTTTGAGTTTGAGGCTTTGAGCCACTCCGCTACCTACCAGACCAGAGCTCCAGTCTCCCGCTAGAAAGTAGCAAACAATGCACATTCTTATTCTTTGCAAGCCCCAAAAAGTCCAACAAACCTTCCAATAATCTGTTTCCCAAGGCCGAGACCAACAAAACTTCTTTATTGAGCTCTCTGCCACTGTTATTCTCCATAGAGGTACTGCGACATTTTCAGCAAAAATTACTTGTCCAGTTCTCTTGAAGCGGATCATTTTGATGATCACTTTTTGGTTGTTGTTTTGTGCATGCCTGAAGCTATTTTTTTTTTTGGCATTATGGGTCTTGATTCTTTCACTTTGCATGGTCCGATTGCATTCTTGTTTTCGTTTTCCCAAAGAAAAATAAACTTGGGTTTTGAAAAAAGCTGCATTCTTGGGCTGAGTATAGCTTGGATGATTGCTGTTTGTGAGAAAGTTCCGTTATTGGGATGGTCCGATTGTAGTTTAGGTGAGAGCATTTGTGGAAGAAAGTTGCCATCTTGGGTTAACTATAATTGAGATGATAGTCATTTGTGAAAGAAGTTGCAATCTGGGGTCAAGTATGATGCTCTTCTGTTGATGTTGCAGGAATCTTGCTGGAAGGAGAAGCGGACAGCAAAGTCGAGGTGGGTTTTGGGTAAAAATACAGTTGAGATGAAGAGCAAAAGCAAAAAGGCTCCAAAAAAGGAAGATACTGCTGAAGATTGGTGCTTTGTGTGTAAAGATGGTGGAAATCTTTTTTTATGTGATCACAAGTGAGTATTTCTTTCTTTTTTTTATTTTTTATTTTTTATTTTTGCCCTTTCCACTTTCCTTGCTGGCTTTTTCATTCATTCAATTTTCAGCGAGGACTTTCTCTCGTATTTCTGGAGAGATTCTTCACTGAGCTCATCTTTGCATTTGGCTGCGTGACGTTGTAACGAGCGCATAATAATTAATAAATCGAAAAAAGTACATTCCGAGGAGCTCCACTTTAGTCAAAAGTTCCTCCTTTGGGTGTTTTGATTTTCCTTCTCACGGGAATAGGTTTATTTGCGTAACTCTTACTTTCGGTAAGAAAATGTAAGAAAAGAAACCTTCTCAAGGGGTGGGTCAACAGGATAGGGTTCGTGGGGGGTCTTTATCCTCTAGCAGAGGCGGCTCACTGGGCTTGCCCCTGTGGGGGTTTCCAATCCCACATCGGAGGGTTGGGGGGAATGGGTTGGGTAGATAAGTCTTTGTGAGGACCTCAAGAGTTGCCGGGCTTTTGAAGTTTCTCAGGGGAATAGGTTTATTTGCGTAACTCTTACTTTCGGTAAGAAAATGTAAGAAAAAAAAGGGTGTTTTGATTTTCCTTTCTTTCGTTTTCTGTGGGCACTTTTGTCATTTCAGAGATCTAAATGGCTGAGCGATGAGGAAATAATGGATTGCTCTCTCTCTCTCTCTATCTCCGTCTAGCTGTTTTGCTTTGATAGAAAATCCTGAATAGTGTACCATCATTATTATGATCTTTGACTGGATTCCCCAACAAAACTTCATTCAAGCTATGCACAAGGAAGAGTAATTTTATGATAGCAACCAATTTTGGCCCGTACAAAACTGAATAACACAGGACTCTTTTCTTGTCTTTATTAGATTCTAAACTGGCGATCGGAAGAAAGTTGCGGTTTAATTTGTTGCGTTCTTTCGATTTTCGAGGTCCTTTTATTTTTGTTTTAATCTTCTTGGTGTAAGTTGAGAGAAATCTGATTTTTGTATAAAGATTTGGCAAGGCACATGCTGCAACTCGTGAGTTTCTTGAATCAACAATGTTGTATCTGTAGCCAAGTGCTGACACCTTTGGTAGCTTGTTAGGGGCAGTATCTGGCAATCTGCGGCTTAGTAGGTGCTCTTTTATGAGGGGAATCAAAAGGTCCACTTCAGCATTCCTGGTTTTGTAGTAAATTTCTGGTATTTGTGGTCCTGACGAATTAAAGGTCATTTGACTCTTAAACCATGAAAAGAAGTTAGAATACTCGAATGTTTTTTGAAGTTGTTTTGGAAATTATCACATGATGCTGCTGACGTTATTTCTTCCTCAAATTTTGTATTGTCTGGTGTATTTTGTTTGGTGGTGCAGAAATTTTCTAGGTTGTGGGAGTAATTTTCCTGTTACTGCCATTATGATGTTATTGTAGATCTGCCTTTTGCGCTTCTTCTATGTGAACCTTTTGAGGAGTAAAAAATCAGAGATTATATGTTTTACCTCAAGTTGCAAGATTTTCATGAAGTATATGACAATATTGTTGTCATCATTAACATTGTCATTATTTATTATTATTATTGTTCTCAGGCAGTGCCCAAAAGCTTATCATTCTCATTGTGTTGAGAAGAATGAATCTTTTATGACAAGCGAAGAATGCTGGAATTGCAGTAAGCCCCTCAAAAGCTTTCCTTCCTTAGCCTTTTCATTTCCGTGTCCAATTCTTCAATGTCTTGGTCATTTGTTTGTCCTTATTTTCTATATATTCTTCATTTTCCTTATCTAGTACTCCAAGTGTCAAGCACGTTGTAGCATGTTGCATAATTGAGCAAACCATCAATTTTTCTGTACTAGGTAGTTGGTATTATTTATGTATATTAACACCTTCGAGTGCAGACTGTTATATTGGTTGGTCTTTTTTTTTTTCCGATGTGCTCAAATGTCTTATTCCATTTTTTTGCTGTTCCATCGTTATTCTTTGAGACTTTTGGTTTGTTTGCATGGGATTGTTCTGTTTGAAAAAGCAAGAAGAAACAAGTATTGAATGCAAAATAAAGGTGAAACCCGCTGCTAAAAGCACCAAAAAGAGGAAGATACGATCCTTACCTTTTTCTGTTCTTTTTTGTGTTGTTGAGAGGGCGAGGTGTGGTTGTTTGCATAGATTAGACTAGTAAAGCAGAGTAACTGCACTGGTTTATAAGTCATGGATCTTAACGGTGTCAGAGTGCTCAAATAGGTTTTTGTTTATGTCCTTCAATTTTTCTTTTCACTCAGTTAGCTCCTTAGTTTATCTTATTTTGCTTTACTCTTATCTAGTGCATACGTCATGGCAACAAATAAAAAGTTATGCAATATTCCTGTTTCAGATTGGCATTCTTGCTTCATGTGTGGGAGAAAAGCTCATTTTCATTGCTACTGTTGTCCAAATGCTCTATGTCGCTTCTGCATTAGTGCTGCCGAGTTTTGCCGTGTTAGAGGGATGAATGGCTTCTGCAATAGTTGTTTAAAGCTTGCAATACTGATAGAAGAAAACATGGATGTTGACTCTGATGGGGTATGATTAATACAGATTTGTAATGTTGGTTTTCAAATGTCATTTTATGCTCTTGAACATTCAGTTGGTACATATCTGACCTGCTCTCAGAATATTAATGGATTAAGAAAGCTTGCTCTGGTGCAGTAAATTAGCTTAAAACAGTTACGAGACACTGTATTGTGAATAAATTGCGACTTTAGATCAATTACCAGGCAAAATTGGATGTGAAAATGAGTTACGTGAGAAAGTTATTAGATAATAGATTGTTATATCATTTCATCCGATGATTGAAAATTATAATTGACATGTCAATGGAAAGCATTCTTCATCCCATATCATTTCATATGACTAGTTATACAAGATTTCAGAAATTTGTGATAGGATGCATGACAAAAACCAGATTTGAGCAGGAGCTCATTCATAAGATCTATTTATCTATTTCTTTATCATGATAAATCTGAAACAAGCAAGATCTAGCTATCTATTTCTGCATCATGATAAATCGGAAACAAGTTGAAGATTAACAACATTTTCCTGAAGCATATTGGTTCAAATGGTTCATCCTTTTGGCAACCTAAATTGGCTCTTTGCAATAATCTTCCTCAGCATTTATGTATAAATACCTTTTCATTTATGTTGGAGTACATCTGCATTGTAGTCTAATTATATTTAATCCTTGATATATCTCGAGTTATATCCCGGTATCAAAATCATATTTTGCTACTCAAGTTTGATTTTAAACCAACCTGAATGCATATACTGAACTTTTATTCATTCTCTTTTACAGAGAAGAGATTGTGACCCTGTCTTAGAACACATCATATTGGCTTAATTGTGCATGTTAGAAATGCAGCGATGTGTAGCTTAATAATTAACGTTGGTGGATTATTTCACTGCAGGACAGATTAATAGATCAAGGACTCGATACCGAAATTGTTACTTTTTCCTTCGAAAGGTTTATATGCTCTGGCCTTACTGGACTGGATAGCATAATCGATTTGCTCTCTTGTGTGGGAGGATGTGCATGTTTGTGAATTGAGTAATTTAAGTTTCTGTGAAGCCAATAAACTATTACCCCAAGCAACCCCCTCAGAAAAAAAAAAGAAGAAGAAGAAAGTTCCTTGTGTATATTAAGAAGGACAAACTTGATGCTTATGTTTATATTTTTAACTTGATGTCAAATAAATGATCAGATTTGCTTTACTTAGATGTGTCACCAATCCAGATATGAAGCACATGCATAGTCGATAGATAGGTTACATCTGTTGCTTGTATGGAACTTACACATGGAATTTCTTGTTTGGTAAATTGGTCTTGCATTCAATTCTACAAGCATCATCTATATTTGGGTTTGTTTTTGCACATGCTAGACTTCATCGTATTCATTCTATACATCTGGTTCATCATTATAGCTAATTGTATTGTTATTCATGTTGTCCATTAGGGTAGCCAATAACGTACAAACTGAAATCTTTTGTTACCTCCGTTTTTTTCAATGTATGGAGGGGAGGGACTTCTCAGTTTTATTTCAATTAATTTTTTTGGTTTATTTTATTTATGACAAAGAGCTTTTTTTCCCAGGAGAAAGTGGACTTTAAAGATCGGGAAACTTATGAAGGTCTTTTTATGGAATATTACAAGATTGTTCAGGAAAAAGAAAGATTTAAGATAGATGATATCCGTGCTGCTACAGACAGAAAAAAGACGGGAAACTCTGATTCAGATGAATTTGGCAATGATGAAGTAGTGTCTGAATATGAAAAAGAAGAAGACCTTAAACAACATCTTAGCAAGAAGGCATTCAAGGGGAAGCTATCCTGGAAACACAAGAATGCTAGATCGAAAATTATGCAGTTCACTGGTTGGGGATCAACTTCTCTCATTCAGTTTCTGCAATCAATTGGTAAAGATACCACTGAAAAACTATCTGAACGTACTGTGGAGGCAATAATTCATAGATATATTGCAGAGCATAAGCTCTTTCAGCCAGAGAAGAAGAGAAAGATAATATGCGACGAGAACTTGCGAAGTATTTTTGGTCGGAAATTTGTTAACAAGAATAGAATTTATGAGTTGTTGGAAGCTCATTATTCTGATAATCTGGAGGATTCAGAAGAGGATGAATGGGAGGAAGAGGAGATGTATTTTGCAGTATACAAGGATAAAGATGCCTCTGTGGCTTGTGGAACAAGAAGAGAGTTAAAAAAGAAGAGAGAGTCCCAAAAACATGATACAGAATTAGAAAAGGAGAAAGAGTCTGAAAAACATGGTACACTACTCACCGCACCACAAAGTCATTTTGCATCTATTACAGCTGAAAATATTAAGCTTGTATACTTGAGGAAGAGCTTGGTAATAGAACTATTAAAACAACCCAAGTCATTCAAAGATAAGGTGACAGGAAGCATTATACGGGTCAAGTCCGATCCAGATGATTATCGCTGGACAAAAAATTCTCATCAGCTTGTGCAAGTTACAGGTCTAGATGCAATCTGCTATTTTGATATTCTGCATTAAACTTTGCTTTCTGATTATCAAGTGCTATTGGATGTTTCTACCTGAATATTAATCAATTACTTGATCATGAAAAGCACATCTATTAAGCAATTTTTAGATAATTTGCATCCTTTTAAGTGTAAGATTGTTTTGTCAGCAGGTAATTGATGTTACATTAAGCCTGAGGCAACAAAAAAGTTCTTACGCTACTGTGATTGTTTTGGATTTCATCCATTCAAAATAATGGTTTGTGACAGTTTGCAGCAGAATATGATTTGATTATTGTGTGAATTTTAGTCTTTGGAACTGTAATTTAGATATGAACTCTAGACATATGAAAAACAGAGACAGTTAACAGATTAGTGCTACAATAAAGTTATGTGGTAAAAGGGAAGATTAGGCACTGAAGTCGACTGTGTGGGTGAAGTTTATGAAACCGCTCATGAGAACATATAATTGCATGAGAAGTTAAAGTGCTTTTGTTAAACTTTTTACAATGCATGGTAGAAAAAGTTCATATTTAGTGATCTACATGTCTGACAAACTAAAAAGCTAACATCTGACACAACATTTTCAGCTTCCACAAACTATTGACATCTTGTGCCTGTATATTGCTTTCTGGATAGGTATTTATTTGTCTTTAACTTGTATCTTAGGAATAAAGGAAACTCCAACTGGAGAAAACAATAACGACATGATCCTTTGCGGGTCAAATATGCCACTAGGGATTCAAATCAGTATGCTATCAGATGGTGACTTCTCACAGGTAACCTACATGCTATTATTGATCTGATCCATGTCTTTAGCTTGGATGTTTTCAGTAATTTGATCCTGCTCTTTTTCTGCTATAACTGTGTGATATGATTTTTTTAGTTGCTGCAATAATGTAAGGAGCAGCTTTTAACTGTACTTGATTGAAGTTCCTACATGTAGTTATAAATGAGCAACACTGTTAGATTGAGATGACAGGAAGAGATATCACTGATCTCATAAATTGCAATGCACAGGAGGATGCTTGATTCCTTGAAACTGAGCTCCAAGTTCTTGATCCACATTTTCTGGAGTCAATACCTCTAATATCATCTTTTGTGTTGGTTAGACTGTCGAACTGATGTGGGAAGGTTAATTTTCTTTCTAATGCCTCCTAAAGTATCGACTAAAGGAAAAACTAACTTTCCCTGTATCTAAATGCACGAACTTTCTTGATTTTGCCTTTATTACTGCTATTTCCAGCACTAGTCATACAAGTGGTATCAATAGAGCTCAACAGAGTCTAGGATGTGCTCTTAAAAGCTTGTGAATTTTTCTATAGATACAGACTGCAATAAAAAAATCTGTATGCACATTCATGACTAAGTTCAAATTCTTTTCTAAATGAAGTCCGTTTTGTTATGCCTTGCTACACTGATAGCGTTAGCATGACATAGCAGACAGCACTAGTTTTCTACAACTTAATGTATTAAAGATTTTGAGAAAATGCTTGGGGAAGTTGTGAGGTGGGAAAGCACTTTTTTATCTCTCAGAATGATGTATAATTGATCTATCATGTGAAACTATCTTGACTTGTCATGCTTTGATTATAAGGAGCCCTTTACTTATTTTTCAAGGCAGAATTGGTACCCCTGTTTGGTTATCCTAAAACTTGAGAGGAGAGAAGCTGAAAAAGGAGGTATTATTCTTGTTGACAAATGAGATAAGTCATTAACCATTAACATCCTTGTTGACAAATGAAAAAATGAGATGGTTGTTATGGGTTAACATAATATTCTAAGCTGGAAAGATCTGCCAGTGCTAATATGTTGCAGGGCTTGGTTAACCTAAAACTTGAGAGGAGAGAAGCTGAAAAAGGAGGTATTATTCTTGCATGAATAGGGTCTTCAGGAAGTGAGATAAGTCATTAACCTTTAATATCCTTGTTGACAACATGAAAAAATGAGATGGTTGTTATGGGTTAACATAATATTCTAAGCTGGAAAGATCTGCCAGTGCTAATATGTTGCAGGGCTTTTTGCTTTTAAGGATGCATCAATTCTATGTATTCTTCATTACTCATTATGTTAAATAAGAAGGAAAACTTCAAGTTTGCATACTTATGCTTCAAAACAATGCTTATTAAGTAATTAGTTAACCTCGATATGTCCTTTTCTAAAGAAGTTTAAATTTGAAGAATTTTTTTACAATTTTTTGCCTCTATCTGTTGTAGGAAGAATGTAATGATTTGAGGCAAAAAGTGAAAGATGGCCTCGTTCAGAAGCTTAGTGTAGTAAGTAATTGACACGTCCTTAATTCCTTTTTGTGTAGTTTTCCAAGTATATTAAAAAGTTACTCATTCTTTTGCATGTGACTGTGGTATGGTGGGTTGGCATCTTATATAAGAAACTTCTTGACTAGTTATAAGTAGGAATTATTTTTTTACTCTACTTTTCATTTTCTAGTAATATCACTAGTATCTTCTAAAGATATAATGCAAAATGTTTAAAATTGCTGAACATGGTTCTACTTAAGAGAGTAAATTTAGGCTAATCTTTTGAATTGTCAACAGATTCTTTCTTATCTTTCTTACATAAATCCTTTTCAACTTTCACAATGGACCCAAGTACTTAACATTCTCCGTCCAACCTTCTCCTTCCAACCTTCTACTTAGATTGATAGCCTTTATATTTTTTGCATCTATATCCATATTTATGTTTCTCATTTTCTACCAAATAATTGGCAAAAACCTTTTTTACCAATAAAAGAATAACTCAATCAAGAAGAATCACAACAGAGATTTCTTACATTTGGAGGATTCTTGACCTCGTTTACTACAGGTGGAGCTTCAAGAGAAGGCCAGAAGTCTGCATGAGGATATAACAAACCATGTATGCATTTCATTTTCTGCTTTTCGTGTATTTCTTTGCAAATGCATCATATCTCTGATACACATTTTATTTTGAAGAAGCTTTTTTTTTGTAATTTAATGGGTTCTTACTTATTGTAATTATTATCTAACAATTGTGTGACACTTTCCACCACAGGTCCCAGTATGTTGATGTACCAATACATATACATATATTTACAGCGATGAAAAAATAAAAAATTGTATACTTATATATATATGTATATATATACACACACACACACACTCACAGCGAATAGGCTAAATAAAACCATAACGAGGAAGAAGTCATTTGATGACATTATTGGCAGTTATTTTTGTTCCAACATGTATTATGATCAGGTCTGAATGTTTGTTTATCACCCAGTCCTGTCAAGATGTAGTTTGTTCTTCTTTCGTTAACCGTTTTTCCGTTATCTATTCATCCATGCCTTCCGAGCCAATGTCAGGAAATTTCTAGAGAGCTGAAGATCCTGGATGGACGCATCATTCAAGCAATTGAGAAAGGACGGAGACAAGAATATCCTTACACTGAACTTACTTAAGTGAAGCAGAGATTAAGTAGCTTTGTAATTTTTCATGATTGCAGTTCTAGTGCTAGTAAATGAAGTTGTTATAAAGGAACTGGAAGGGAAAACTTCTTGTCGCTTTTCTCAACCAATGTGATAAATGTGCTTCAAACTTAATGGTCCTTAATTAATTGATGATGCAAGAGAAAATGTTTCTTTTTTTTTCTATTGATCTCCAGCTGTCATTCTCTTATCCTTCTGTTTTTTGGACATGTAAAGGGTATAGGGTCACTAGATTTTACTTTTGCATTATCTGTATTAGTGTCACGCAATTTGTTCTTGACTGAGCTTTGTACTCCATCTATGTTGGTGTTTCTTGTGCTTGCCCTTATAAACTGACTCATTTGCCTCAACAATTAAGTACATGCAAGTTTAATCTTGTATGCTGTGATATGTGGCATTATAATTTTGCCATTTCAATCTACAATGAGCTGATCAAGTGAATGTAGGATAGTGTGCCTTAACTTAGGAGGTATCTCTACATTATTCGAGCACATGGAAAGAAGGAACCAGTTGCAAACACCGTCAGAACGGTTACGCTTACTAGAATATCATCATGCTGTGATTCCTGAGGAGCTTGAACCTGTTATAGAAGAAATTGGGCATGATCAAAAAGGGGATGAAATGTCACATGAATCAAAATTTTCAATAAATCTCAATTGGAAGTGGGGAGGCAATTGTACATCAAGTAAGATTGATCTTGATTTCAGACATTAAGAAGCTCTAGAGATATTTCTGTTGTGTCTTTAACTTCTCTCCTTTAATTTTAACATTTGGAGCATCATTAGTCTCGTGTCATGGCATGGTAGTATTCACATTCAATAAATTTATCTAGAATCCTGGTGGTTTTCTTGCTTTTCTGAGGGAATACATGTTTTTCTTTTGCAGCCAATGCATTTTCAAGTCAATAAGAACACCAACATGTTCTCTCTCTTTGAACAAAATTCTTGTGCTTATGTTTTGAGCTTTTCTTCTTATATAACTGCATATAATCATGATCTTATGTGTGTTTGCGTGTCAAACATCCATCTGCGTTTGCCTTGTGGCAGTTCTCACGAACCTTGATAATGAAGAACTGCTATAAAGCCCATCTGTTTTGATCTTCTTTACATCTCACCACTTTTTGCAATCCCTGTATCTTTTCTCTGTGGTTCTATTATTGGTTAGGCTATTTTTCTATTTTTCTTTTTAACAAAGCTGACCTTTTTTTTACATACATAGTTTTGGTCTTTCTGTTGCTCTATGACGCTTCTACCTAGCATTGTATGCCTTTGGATTTCACCTTTCTTTGGGCAAGTTTAATTAATACGTTCAGCCTTTTCTTTTTTTTTTTTAATTTAACTGCATCATGTGCAGTTAAGAAATTTTTCTTATTTCGGGATGATTTGAGTATATTAATGTTACATCTTGTTGGATGCAGGAGAAAACAAATTTCATGGTCCTCTTTCATGTCAATATGAAAAGCAGAATCTTCCTGAAGTATCTCTCAGTGTATCACCTAATCAATCCGCCTCAAAAGAAGAAGACAACAAAATGATGGCATCAGCACTCGAAGTATCCCCAGAGCCGTCGCTTGCTTGTGAAGATCAATGTAACATGATGCTCCAAGCAGATGCTGAGTTATGTAGTTCTTCTGTAGAAGTCACGAAGCAGAATCTTCCGGAAGAAAATAACAAAGCATTTGAAGTATCCCCAGGGCTGTCACTTGCTTCTGAAGATCAACGTAATGGGATGCTCCAAACAGATGCTGAGTTATGTATTTTGACTGTAGAAGTCACGAAGCAAAATCTTCCGGGAGAAAATAACAAAGCATTTGAAGTATCCCCAGGGTTGTCACTTGCTTCTGAAGATCAATGTAATGGGATGCTCCAAACAGATGCTGAATTATGTATTTCGACTGTAGAAGTCACGAAGCAGAATCTTCCTGAAGTTTCTCTCAGCATATCACCTAATCAGTCTGCCCCGAAAGAAGAAAATAACAAAGCACTTGAAGTATCCCCAGAGCCATCGCTTGCTTCCGAAGATCAATGTAATGTGGTGCTCCAAACAGATGCTGAGTTATGCAGTTCTCCTGTGGAAGTCGCGATGCAGAATCTTCCTCGCGCATCTCTCAGCATATCACCTCGGCAGCCTGCCTCAAAAGAAAAAAATAACAAAACAGTAGCATCAGCACATGAAGTATCCCCAAGGCCGTCGGATACTTGTGAAGATGGACAGAATGCAATGCTTCAAGTTGAAACAGATGCTGAGTTAGATGGTTCTGCTGTAGAAGTCACGAAGCAGAATCAAGGGATGGATGCTGAAGGAGCCACATCCAAGAAGACTGTCATTGTGGTGAGTAGTGATGATGAAAGTACTTGGAGTTATGAACCAAGAAAGCAGCATCTCGAGGACCCATATAGCAGAGAATGGCTTATTTTAGGTCCAAATGGTGAAAGGAACGAGGAAAAGTATTCACTTTCATTGCTAAAGCGTTGGAGCGATGCAAGTTCTTATGCATTGAAGTACAAGGCTTGGAAAGAAAATGGAAGTGAAGAACTTGCCATCCCGTTGGCTGATGCTATTAAGAAAGCGTTTATGAGTTGATACAAGTTTGGTGAGCTTAGATGCCAAGAACCTTCTTCTGTCCTAGTTTTGAAATACAGAAATCCCTTGTATCTAAACTCAAATCACTTTCTTCTACATATAAAGCATGAGACATGGTTTTGGTGTTAAAAAAAAAAAAAATTTGTTAATCGTTATTTTTCAATTGGGATAATTTCAGAAACCTTTCTTGAAGTTTCTGATTATTGCAGTAGCTCTCCTCTAATTTGAAAAATGACACCTACCTCCTCTATTGTTAGCATTTCAGTAACAATATAGATTCAATATGCTAAATTTGTACCCAAAAATCCTAAAATATCCTTTTGTTATTTAAAAGGGAGATAAACTCACTCATGAATTTCTTTCACGCTATAACTATTACAAATGACATAACTATCACTTTAACGAATTTAATAAATCATTTCAACTTAATCTTTATATTCTCACAATTTTGATGGTCCCTTTTTGTTACCCCAGAGCTTCATATGTAAGCCAACTATGACAATTAAAATTTGCAATCAACATAATTTTTAGCCTCAATTTTTTTTTTGGGTCTAAATTCAACGTTTGAATTAAACAACATCACTATCTAGATTCAATCCAAATAGTTGCAACATTGTTGACGCTAAAATAATTTAACACGCCAAGAATACCAGCACAGAGCACCCAAAAGCAACACTAGAGACCATGTCCCATGTCTCTAGATAAATCTTTGGATTGCTGGTGAAGAGGTGATTTTCGACCCGCAGGAGTGAGTCACCTCAACTGGAGGAATGTCTTTACCTTGGGCAACTCTCTTGGACGAAGTCACCTGCTTGGATAAGAAAAGGGGTTGGATCCCCCGGTATAACTCCGAAACTTAAGTCAGTTCGGATATAGAGAAGTAAGAAAGTAATGAGTGGAGATAGTGTCCTACCAGAAATTGGTCATCCCCATTTCAGTAGAAGTGTCGTGTATTTATAGGGGACTGATAGGAGAGAGGAGATGTTTGCACGGGTCCCTAAAGATCTGAGATAGTCAGTGGATCAGGTGGACTTGACCGGTCTCTATGAAGAGACGTGATGAGACATTCTGTCCGATTCAGGCGGCGGGTCAGAGCAGCCTTTGCTCAAGTGTCAAAGATCACATCTCCCCTTTTTGTAGTTGTCATTCAATGTCCACCTCGGTGTCACGACCCCACATCGTAGCCGAGGTGGTAAATGGGCCGCGATCGCCTTCCGGGATGATGGCCGGTGTGGCACTTCAGGAAATGGTGGGGGACTAGGCCTCGGGCGATCCGAGCCTAAATGGCCCTCCTCACTAAGCTCTCCAAGCTTTGGGAAGGACGAGATGGGTATTCGCCGAGGTCGTTACTTCCCGAAGCTGAGAAGCGTATAAGACACGGAACACGGACACGTCATGACCGCATAGATGGGACTGAGTGAGAACTGAAGGGACGGCAGTCAGCTGTGTGGGCAGACGAACAGTCCTCCCATTAATGAGGAGAGAGGGTGCCGTCTTTTGGGTTTCACCCTGGTGGCCTATAAATAGGGGTCTCTTTTAACCGTTTTACTCTTCACCAAAAATCGGGAATCACCCCAGAACTCTGTTTCTTTCTCTTTTCACTTCAGCAACCTTTCTAAACCACATCTACTTCAGCAACTTCTTCAAGTCGCAGATTCTAAGTAAGTTCACTTCTTCCCCCTTTGATACAATGGCTAGAACAGCTCGCACGCACAAAGAGACAGTGAGGCCCGACTTTACCGACCCCTCCGAGGAAAGAACGGCGTCTGACGTCGGAGAAAAGGGTGCAGAGGCATCTCACCAAGCCGGGGCGTCTCACCGAGCCATAACTCCAGAAGAGCAGGCCGAGGAGATCGAAGTCGATCCCGAGATCCTGTATAATGATGACCTCGGGATGAGATCCCTAGGGACGAGGGTGTTCAAGAACCATCCACTCCTCCGAACGTGGCGACGCTCAACTATGGTCAGATGCCGACCTTCAGCAGTGCTGTGGGACAAGCCGCCGTCGCCGAGGTGATCCGCAGATATCCCTGGAGGAAGGACTACAGCATCTATGTACCGCAGCCACATCAGTCCGCCACCCTGCCATCAAATGATAGGGTGGCCATCTATGTGGACCAACTAGAGGTCGGGCTCAGAGTGCCCATGACGAGGTTTTTTCGGGATTGCCTAAGGTATTGGGGGGTGAGAATCACTCAGCTCACCCCTAATGCCATTTGGGTCCTTGTCGGCTTCTAGCTACTCTGCCGACATCAGGAGATAGAACCCACAGTCAACCTCTTTCGTCGCTGTTACTCACTCAAAAACAGCGGAAGTGAAAAGGGGTGGTTCTACGTCGGGAATAAAGTTCCGAAGCTGGTGGTCGATGCTCCGAGCTCAATAAAGGAGTGGAAGAGGAACTTCATTTTCGTCCCGGCCCAGGACTTCCCCAGGGGATTTTGGTGGAGACCTCCCACCTCGGTTAAAGAGGTGTCCCCGGGTAAGCTGGAAGAACGCAACTTCATGAAGCTAACGGGGTCGGGCCTCAAGATTAACTGCTGGGATTTTTCCGAAGTGGTTCTAGTAGAAGGCGGAATCAGCCGAGCCTTGATCAGTTCGGATCACCCCGTCCTCCTCTCTACTAGGCTTCACTGACCTTGTACTTTTTCATTTCCCTCTTTTAGTTTGTCCTTCTTGAATTCTAACTGACTCTGTTTTGCTCCTTACAGTGACGAAAGTTTCCGACCTGATCACCACGGGAGCGTCCGGGGTAAACAAGAGGCCATCCAAATGCAAAGACACGGCCGAACCGTCCACCCGGCCGAAAAAGAAGAAGACCTCGGCCCAAATCACTACGGCCACGGCGAGCCGAAGATCTCCCGTGATAATCACAGGGGAGGGTTCCCGCACTTCGGCCATCCCAGTCGGGGTGCCTATCAGGGGTGTAACCATAGCTTCTCCACCCCGGGGCAAAGGAACAACTGCGTTCCCCGAAATCCCCGTGACGGGGTCCTCGCTTTTTAACCTCCACAATGTGTCTTCAAAAGAGGCCGGAGAGAACAAAAGGCACTCCGGCGCGCAATAGTGTCCGGAGTGGGAACTCAATGTGAACGACCGCTGCAAGAATCCCTTGGTTGCTCAAGAACTCCTGGTCCACTCAGTTCTGCCCAGGGATAACACTTACGCCAGGAAGCTCACTCCAGGCGAACTGATGCAGAGCGCCTCCGTCTCCTGGACCTCCACCACGGCATTCCTGGCCGAACTGACTCAACGCTATACTAGGCTGGTCGAAACCTATCAGCCTTCGTCTGAGTTTGAGAAGAAGGTCTCCGAGCTGGAGGAAAAACTCAAGGCGACCGAGCAGGAACGCGATAAGGCCGAGACGGCGCGAGAACAGGCCGAGGCTACCAAGAATTCCTTGATGACAGCCCTGGAAGAAGAGAAAAATAGGCGGGCCTAGGAGGAACAATCAAATAAGGTGGCCATTGAGAAAGCGGGGACCTCGGCACTGGAGGCCTTCCGGAAGTCAGAGGGTTTCATCAATGACTTGGGCGAGCTCACGTTGCCGAGTTTCATGTTCGGGTACACCTCTACAGTCCATGATGTGGCTCCTTTCCTCACTCCGGAACAGCTGGAGTCCCTTCACAACAAGGATAATTTCAACGAGGATGCCAAAGAATTGTTCGACCGCATGGCCGAAGGCATCCGGACTGGAAGGGACTTGGCCGAGGTGAAGGTAGAGTTCAACAAATGGCTGTCTGAATTTAACCTGGACGGTGTCGAACTCCATGGCGAAGACGACGATAGTGATGGCGGACATGACGACGGCGCTGATGTCGGAGGTGGTGGAGCCGAGGCTACCGGGGACAACCAGGGAGCCGGGGTAGGGGGTGCTTAGGAGCACTCCCCTTTTGTAATAGGGGGCCGGCCTTTCTCTTTTTGCACTTCAATAAAATTAACTTTTTGTTTTCGCATATTTTTGCCTTCTTTTTGATCGAATTGAATTCAACTTTTCTTTTGAATACTGCTTTGTCCCCTTATCTTTCACTTGAAGAAAATAAACTGAGATTTGAAACAAGTGAGAAATAAACTGAAATTTGAGAACACGTACCCTTTAAGGGTAATACAACTTAAGGTTTTCAGCATGCCAAATCCGGGGCACTCGAGAGCCATCTTGGTAAGCTAATTTACAATATCCATTTTGGCTGGACTCAACAACACGGTAAGGTCCTTCCCACTTGGGGGCTAGCTTACCCTGAGGTTCAGCTCGACTAACTGAGTTCTTCCGGAGAACAAGGTCTCCCGGATTGAACCGTAAGTGCTTGACCCGAGCATTGTAGTAGCCAGTTAGGATATTTTTGTAAATAGCTACTTTGGCCGCGGTCATGTCGCGCTTCTCTTTGGCGAGGTCGAGGTCGACTCGCCGTTCTTCTTCATTGACTTCGGCTGCATATGCGGCCATTCGTGGGCTCGGGATAATGAATTCGGCTAGGACGACAGTCTCGGACCCATAGGTTAGGGAAAATGGGGTCTCCTGAGTTGCTGATCTCAGCGTGGTTCGGTAAGACCACAGCACACTAGGGAGCTCTTCCATCCACGACGATCCAGCCCAGTGTAGCCTGGTCTTGAGTCCATGGAGGAGAGTTCGGTTGAAATTTTCAGCTTGTCCGTTGGCTTGAGGGTGTCCAACCGAAGTGAAATGCTGCTTAATCCTCAAATTTTCACACCACGATTTGGAAGGATTATCTGCGAACTGCCTGCCATTATCAGAGATGACCACCCGGAGCAGGCCGAAGCGACAAACCACGTTCTTCCAAAAGAATTTCTGAACAGCAGTCCCGGTAATGCTTCTCAGGGGCTCGGCCTCAACCCATTTGGTGAAGTAGTCCACTGCTACCACCACGTAAGCATAGTTGCCTGGAGCTCTGGGAAAGGGGCCAATTATGTCAGTTCCCCATTGCTCAAACGACCATGGCGAGGTGATAGGGATCATTAAATTGGTCGGCTGGTGGTGCTCAGAAGCGTGATACTGACAGGAAGGGCAGCAAAGGACTATGACCTGGGCATCCATCCTCATGGTGGGCCAGAAGTACCCGAGCAACAAAACCTTTTTTACGAGCATCCTGTAGCCGACGTGGGCACCGCAGAGCCCCTTATGGATGTTTTGGAGGATCCT